GGTAGGTGTGTGTGTGTGTGTGTGTGTGTGTGTGTGTGTGTGTGTGTGTGTGTGTGATGGAATACTATTTAGCCATAAAAAAGAATTAAATAATGCTATTTGCAGCTACGTGGATGGGCCTAGAGATTATCATATTAAGTGAAGAAAGTCAGATAGAGAAAGACAGATGCCATATGATATCACTTATACGTGGAATCGGAAAAAAAAAGTACAAATTCTATTTACAAACCAAAAACAGACTCACACACATAGAAAACAAACCATGGTTACCAAAGAAGAAAATGTGGGAAGGGTAAATTAGTGATTGAGGACTAACAGACACACACTACTATATATAAAATAGATAAACAGCAAAGACCTACTGTGTAGCACAGGGAACTGTATTCAATTCCTTATGATAACATATAAAGGAAAATAATCTGAAAAGAAAATATATATGTACATATATATATAACTGAATCACTTTGCTGTACACCTGAAACTAACACTGTAGATCAACTACACTCCAATAATAAATAAAACTGAAAAAAAATTAAAGGATGGGATGGTGTGTAAAGGAGGGAGATTTGGGGGCCTGGGATTTACTCTGAAGACCGTTTCAAGTTCATATCAAATATTTAAATCATTTTAACATTTGAAATGTGTACATTTTAAAACAAAAAATAAATCTTAAAACTTAAATTTGAAATTCTCAATTTTAGTGAAATGTGAATATTCTCTCTTATTCTTGTCTTTTCCAGAGTCTCCGGGGCTGTGGTCTCACGCCATCTACTGGGGCAACCATGGGCCATTTCCAGCAGGGACGGTGCAGCGTTGCCCTGGGTGCCTGACTACCACCACCTCCAGAGAATCGCAGTGTCTAAAAGGTAAGTCCCATGTTCGTGGGTTCCCTAATGACCGTACCAGAGGGGCAGGTGCAGTCAACATCTCCAGCAACAGCGCTCGGAGTGGTCCTGGGAACAGAGTACCTGAGAATCAGGCTTAAAGCCAAGGAGGAATAGACTGTTAATTTATCCACTAATGCCCATGGAGAGCATCCACAATGTCCCTTGCAGAACACCCCCCACCGCCCTGGGCGTGGATGCTGATGGCCAACTGGTAAGCAGTTACTGTAGGTTCCAAGGAAGACAGCAGGCTAGATGTGGGCATTTGGCTAAACCCCAGGTGCCGGTTCCTGTGACAAGAAGCAAAGCCTCCAGCCTCTGTTTATCAGGAGAGTAACAGGCTCTTATTTTCTGACTTGTCCCGCAGGTGACAGTGACTAGGAAGAGGCTCTCCTGGCCGAGGCCCCGGTGCACGGAGAGGAGGAACCAGAAATCTCCTAATTGGTACCACATACATCAGGTCAGTTAAGTTTCTTATTTTCCAGACTCACCAACCAAAAAATTACACCCAAGTCGGAACCATCTGCAAGCTGGCGTTGCATCCATGCATGTCTCCAGGTTCACAGACCTCATTGCCTCACTCCTCTGTCCTTGTGGTCTGGACCTTAGATGAGCTTATCTCCCCAAGTCTCATAGGGGTTCGGGGAGGGTACACAGCATGTCACAGCTCATCACAGTGGCAGCACTGGGGCTGGGATTAGACCAGATTTCTGGCTCTGAAGCAGCAGCAGTCAGCACACACCCAGCCCTGTGTGCAAAGGGAGCCCCTCCAAGTGCTTGTCTTGAAGAAAGGAACGGGAGACATGCATCAGTAGCATGGGATTTTAACTCACCCCACAACATGTAAAATTAATTCCACACATGCTAGTATAAAAGTTTCCATCATTCTCTACTTAGCTCACTTTCTGTAAAGGTCCAGACAGTAAATATGATCTCCATTTTAACTGCTCAGCTCAGCTCAGCTGCTTGGGAAAGTGACCACCCACCAGACAACCGTGATGGATGTGGCTGGGTTCCAGGACAGCGTCATTCACAACGTCAGTTGGTGGACCCACACGTGGCCCACGGGCCATCTTCTGGGAGCCCCAAATGATGGAGGCAGATGGATGCACTTGTGTTTCATCAGGCATGACCAGGTTACCACCAGTGGCCCAGCGCTGGTTCACTGGTGGGAGTCACCCTCACGTGCCACGTGCTGGGTGCTTCTCCCCAGCAACTGGCTGGCACAGCCCACCTGGGCTTAGGCTGTAAGATGCCCTTTTATCCCTCTAGCTGGGATTATTCTGCCTCAGAAATCAGAAGTCTTTATGGATTTTGTTGGACTGTTGTTGGGAGTATGACAGCTCTTGGGAAGACGGCATTGTCTTCAGCAAGTATAGTTGCTCAGCCAACTCTGGATGGACGTGGAGTCTTTCCGAAGAGCCCAGCGAGGGGTGAGGGCTGAGGTGGGCGGCATATGCCTCCCTGATAAAGGCATAGGTGGGATGAGCGACAACACAGTTACACTGTAGGAGTGTTACACGTCCGTATCACTTGGAAGAGGATTCGAAATCTTGCAACTCGGGTTCGAAATCTTGCAACTCCAGGTTAACCTCGCTAAGATTAATTAGGATCAGGCATTTGATTTTTAACAACCTAGTCTGTCTTCTCTTCAATCTGTTGCCACTGGAATTGACAGAAAGCGGATGACATCAGAGTCTTTTATTACTGTTTTTAAAGTATTTTTTCCTTACAATTTGATTTAGGTATAATTGACATGCAGCACTGTATACTTCTTTTGGAGGGGGGTGAAATTAGGTTTTATTTATATTTTAATGGAGGTACTGGGGATTGAACCCAGGGCCTTGTGCTTGCGAGGCCCATGCCCTACCACTGAGCTACACCCTCCCTACCCCAGACTTTTATTACCTGATGTCTCACGTGAGCCATCAGGCAGCATCCCAGACCGGCTCCGGCATATGTCACGGCAGGGAAGGCTGGTCTCTCCTCTCCACTGGGGCTCCGCGTGCTTCCTCACGGATGCTGGCTCTCTGTTCTCTCCTGCAGATGGATGGTTTCTAGCCTGCTTCCAAACCCCACCTCAGCGGAGTGCTGGGCGGCCCTTCTACATGATCCTATGATTCTTGATATGGACGCGGTCCTGTCAGACTTTGTTCGGTCCACGGGGGCAGAACCTGGTCTGGCCAGAGACCTGCTGGAAGGTAGGTCAGTCCCCCGGGTCCCCCAACCACCCTCTTGGGCATAACTGCCCTTCAACCCAGAGGTCTTGGAGATTTCTGTTACCTGGTACTTGGATTCCTTAAAAAGTAAAAGAAGGTGTTGGTGAAGAAATGACATTTGTTACTCTTTTTTTATATAAGTTTAATTATGACCTGTTTTTTCTTTAATGGAGGCACTGGGGATTGAACCCAGAACCTCATGCATGTCATGCTAGGCATGTGCTCTCTCACTGAGCTATACCCACTTCCCACTTGTGTTACTCTAGATTTTATTTGGGGGATGGAATGGACCACTCAACTCTCCATAGTAAAAGAGCAGAAGGCATTAGCTAGGCTTTGCTTTGCATTAAAGCTTATAGATGTTGAGTCAAAAATCTAGGGGTCGGGGGTATAGCTCAGTGGGAGAGCATGTGCTTAGATGCACAGGGTCCTAGGTTCAATCCCCAGTACTTCCATTAAAAGATAATAATAAAATAAATTTAAAATAAGTAACAAAAATCTATCACTGGTTATTTTTTTAAAGAAACCGTATTCAGTAAATCAGACATGATAGAACATTCAAGAAAAACACTTTTATTGGAGACCTTACCTTCTTATCTTTGTCTTAGCTGAGACAAAATACTTTAGGCCAAAATTTTTGATGAAAAGAAAAAAGGCACCTAATACCCAATAAAATAGTCGAGAATAATTCACAAGTAAGAAGGCAATTCACCCTCAAGCCTTTAATGTAGATACCATTCACTCGGTGACAGTGTGCACAGTCCAGAGTTAGAACGTTTTCAGGTAGTTCTTCAGCTATCATCATCATGAAATAAAATCAATGTTTCGTTTCGGTCTCTAGAATGGATTTACTTTGTGTACTTTTGAAATTGCTTTTTTTATAGTGGGGTGAAGAGAAGAGGTGGGAAGAATCAATTTCAGCTTCTCAGGACAGTCTTGTGTGTGAAAGGAGAGAATTTTTAAATGATTACTCTTTGCTTCAAACGTATAAACTCCTCCTTGTGAAATTAGCAAATACTCAGTCCAGTAGTGTAAGTCCGAATGAGTCCTTAATTCACTGAGGGTGGAAAATAAGAACTACTGTACATTTGCATGAATGGAGGTAACTACTTAGTCCTGTTGAAAATTAAGAACCGCCTGCTGGATGATTCTGATAAAACAGCAATACCATAGCATAGTTTTTCAATTTCCCTGAACCTCCCAGAATTTCTAACAAACTCAGGGCTTAGAATAAACTATGCCTAGAGAATGTTTGTGATGTATGTGAATTAAAGTGTGATTCTCACTTCTTGGTAGTCACATTATATAATATCTCCCTGAGAGTTTTCACTGCTTTTCTGAATTTCAGTGAGCGGTAGTATGGGGAAGTAGATTATTAATGAGGTTGGCAGTGAGGGCTGGGTCAAGTCCAGACTCAATATTTGCTGCCTATTAGATGTAGGGCAAATGATCTTATTTCCCTTAGCCTCAGTTTTTTTTTCTATACATTGACCCTAACCCACCTTCTAGAGTGATGATGGACATTAAAGTTGTGACGTAAATGTTGTGATGTGGGTGGCGTGACCAGCATATAGCTAATGCTCAAACAATAGTGGGAGAAGATCTTGTTAGTTGTTGCCTTCTTTGCAACTAGTTACTAACTTTGCCGTTGCTATCTGGTTAACCTTCAGTAAGAAACAAGAGTTGTCAGCTCTTTTCTTTTTTAATTTTATTTTTGCAGGTAAAACACAGGGATGCCTTTGCACATCATTTCTTTGGGACTTCAGTCTTCCCAGAACTTTTCTCAGTTTTAGCTCCGCCTCCTGCCCCGTTTCCAATATTAAGGATTGGGGGTGGGGCTGTCAATCAAAGAACAGAATTTTCAGAACTCGGAAGGGCAGCCTTCTTGTTTCCAGGACACTGTCCAGAGGAGTTAAACCAATTTAGACATTTCTTCCTCTAACGTCCTCTTGCCCTGATGATGTGAGGAAGTGAGAGTTCAGGAGCGAGCAGGATGCTTTATCCATCTCCATGACCTTATTCACTGATTCGTCTACAATGGGTGATTCCTCTGAACATCACCACAGCTTTCCAATTCTCCTGCGTGTGCAATGGTCATTTAGGGGAGATAGTCTGAGCTACAGCGAAGGGTGGAATTGAGATGTATATTAAATACATGGAAACAAAAACCAATTTGCCTCAATTACCTGGTATTTTAAAATAAATTTTTTTAAATGGGGGGGAAGTTGAGTCAAAAGTTATCAATAGTTTTTTTTAAAGAAAATTTCTGTGGGCAGTTCTGAGAATTTGAACACCCTGTAGATCTGTGTGAGTACCGCCCCTCTTAGAACCGTCGCATCACCCCGGTACTCCCTCCTGTTCTCTCTCTCTCTCTTTTTATTTTTCTTTTTGACTTGCAGTATTGTCAGGTACAATGTGTCAGTTTCTGGTGTACAGCATCATGTCCCAGTCACGCATATACATACTCATATTCATTTTCATATTCCCTGCTGGTCTCTTTTACTGCCACGGCTTCCCCAACCCTGTCCACTGGCAACTGTTGCTCCGTTTTTTATCGCTTTGATTTTGTCTCTTTCAAGAATGTCATATACATACAGTCACATGGAACCTAATCTTTTTAAGCTGGCGTCTTTTCACTCGGCATAATCATTTCGAGATTCATCTGAACTGTTGTGTTTGAGTCAAGAGTTTGTTCCTTCATACCGCTGAGTGGTACCCCTGGTGAGGATGGACCACACCTTGTGTAGCCATTCACCTGCAGGGGGGCACTGTTGTTTCCAGTTTTTGCAATTACAGCTAGAGCTGTGACCCACTTGAGAACACAGGTGTTCGTGAACATAGCAGCTTTCATTTTTCCAGGGTAAACACAGGGGGATGGCTGGTTCATATCGAAAGTGTATGCTTAACTTTATCAGAAATTGTCTCTGTTTTCCGGACTGCAGTACCATTTTGCATTTCCATCTGAAATGTGTGAGGGGTCTAGCTGTTCCCCATTCTCACCAACACTTGGCTTTTTTATTTTATTCTTTTTAAGATTAGCCATTCTAGTAGGTTTGGAATGGTATTGCCTCATCGTCTTCGTGTTCATTTACCTAATGTCCGATGCCATTGAATTTTTTTTCACGTTATTATTTTCCGTCTGTAGATTTTCCCTGGTGAAATATCTGTTTCAGCCTTTTGCTTTTTGATCAGCAAAATTAGGTTGCTGGAGGTTCTTTATAGCTGAATTTTGAGAGTTCATTATATATTCTGAGTATAAATCCTTTGTCAGATATGTGATTTGCAAATATTTTCTTCCAGTCTGTGCTTGACTTCTCATGCTCTTAAGAGTGCCCTTTGCAGAGCAGAAGTGTTTGTTTGCTTGTTATCTTTATTTTGAAGAATAGTTGATTTACAGTGTTGTGTTAGTTACTGATGTACAGCATAGTGATTCAGTTATAGATAGAGGTTTATATACTTTTTCATATTCTTTTTCATTGTAGGTTATTACAAGCTATTGAATATAGTTCCCTGTGCTGTACAGTAGGACCTTGTTGTTTATCTGTCCTGTGCATAGTAGTTTGAATCTGCTAATCCCAAGAAGGTTTTAATTTTGATGAAGTCCGGTGTCATTTTTTTTCTTTTCTGGATCATGCTTTCAGTGACACGTCTAAGAACCTTTGCATAACCAGGTCATGAAGATTTTCTCCTATGTAAACTCTTAAAAGTTTTATACTTTCATGTTTTCATTTAGATCACTGACTCTTTTTGAGTTGATTTTTATATAACAGGTGAGATTTAGGGCAAGGTTCATTTTTATGCATATAGATGTCCAGTTGTTCAAACCATTTTTGGAGATTATCTTCCCCCCATTGAATTGCCTTTGCAAATTCATCCCAAATTGACTGAGCATATCTGTGGGAAACTATGGATGCTGGTTCTGTTCCATGGATCAGTGTCCCTTCCTTTGCCAATACTACACTGTCTTGATCACTGTAGCTTTGTAGTGAGTCTTAAAATCAGCATTGGATGCTTCCAACTTTATTCTTCTTTCTCAAAATTGTTTAAAGTATTCTTTTTTTTTTTGCTTTTCCATTTAAACTTAAGGATTGCCTTACTTCTACCTTTAAAATTTCCTGCTGGAATTTTTATTGGAATTATGTTAAATCTGTAATTCTGTGCTAACTCTGTTATATCTTCCAGTCCATGAAGTCAGTATAGCCGTATTTCCCATTTATTTAGAGCTTCTTTGAGTTATTTCATGAAGGTTTTGTAGTTTGTAGCATATCAGATCCTACACATATTTTGTTAGATTTATTTCTGGGGAGGGGTTGAACTGCTGTAAACGGTATTTTTTAAGTTCAGTTTCTAATTGTCCGTTACTAGTATATAACAACATAATTGATTTTCGTACATTGTCCTTATATCCTGCAGTCTTACTAAACTTAATTATTTGTTCAAGAGAGTGTGTGTGTGAATGTACGTGTGCACCTGAGTACATGCGCGTGTGTGTCTGTGTGTGTGTTCCTTGAAATTTTCTGCATAGACGATTGTTTCCTTTGCAGTGTATGCCTTTTATTTCTTTTTCTTGCCTTACTCCACACTTATTCTTACTTATTGCACTGACGAGGACTTCTTGGAAAAGGTTGAATAAGAGCGGGAAAAGGGAGCATCCTTGCCTTGTTCTTGCCCTTAGGGGGAAGCGTCCAGTCTTTCACTGTGATGTGGAACTGAGTTTGCTAATGCTCCTTGTCAGGTGCAGGAAAGACCCTTCTACTCCGAGTTTGCCGACAGTTTTATCATTGCTAGGTTTTTTTTTTTTCAAATACATCTTCTACCTCAATGGATATGATTGTTTCTCTACTTTAACCTGCTCGTAGAATGTATTGCATTGACTGCCTTCTAGTAGCAAACCAGCCTTTTGGCCATTATTTCTTTAAAGATGTTGCTGCTGCATACTTTTCTTCTCTCTTTAATGGGACTTGGAGGATGTAAGGTTAGAC